TTGATTTGATTTTTAGCGCCATATGCAACCATTTTACACAAACCTGAATTGAGTGAAGTATATGTTGACGATCAGCCGCAAGCGATGGTGATGAATGAAGTATTGGAAATGTAAAAAAAACAATGAAAGGTGGCGTCATCGACAAAAAAAAATGGATAAGGTTAAGTGTTTGGGTAAAAGGTCATCGATGGACTAAGGAAGGTGGTAGAAGATAGCGCAGAACCAGAAGGCCGCATATCTAAGTGATAAAATACGGTTAGAGTTCAAAGTTGGGAAGCGTATCCAGGAGCAAGCCCTACCAAATCCGGTAGTACGCCTTAGAGGTACCCAGGAGGACTACACTTCGATTTATTTCAAAACTATGTCAAAATGATTTAGGATTCTCATGCAATGGTTTAATTGTAGTTTTACCCTGTTTTTTAGTGTCAGACTTCAGATCTGTTAGCCTTTATGCATTTACGGACACATCTTCTTGTGGTTTATACATCGTTCCGCAATGTACTAACACGAAAGAGTGCATCCGAGCTTTGGTCGTATAACACAAGTAGAATGCTATCTCCGATCCACTGCTATTCAGTTGTTACCTGGTGTCAGAATGACAGCATACTGACCAGGTCAGGGGCCCGAAAAACAGACTGAATCCCCGAGCTAACGCATAGTTTTATTCGAATGTTGTCTAAAGGTGGGAGAAATCTTCGCACTTCATCGGACAGCTACCGCCAGTCCAAGCTGGGCAGCTCCCAGCCAATAATGTACCATCCCGTCAACGTTCCGCTTGTTTCATTGGGTGCATGAGGCTAAGGGCCGATCTCGAACAGCGGACCGTCAACGCACCAGCGAACAACACACTGAACGGAAACCCAAAGAACTTGCGTGACAAGTCTCTAGAAGTTCCCACACGGGTGTGTCACGCTCCCGCGTTGGATCTACGCCGGACTACCTTGTGGGTCAGACTTTCGAGTCAAAGGCTCCGGTTAGGGTTCGCAAAGGAAAAGCCCTTCGTCCGTGTTGATTTCCGTTGAGTATTTCCTGCCCTAAAGTCTTAAGCACCTATTTGGAAAACCCTCTGTCCCATCTGTCCAGTTCTTCCTCTCAGTCCCGAATGATCCCAGATGCATCTTGTTTACGAGACCCATCGAATATCACTCAGCGTTTTACCAGCAAGGCCAGATAATCAGAAATTATAGGATTCTTGAAGCTCGAATTTCTTTTTTACTTAGCCACGTTCAATTTCCGTACACTCTATCAGATTGGTGAACAAGCTGTCTAGCTAGAACCCTTGAAACTTTCAATTTAGATGTATGCTGTCTCCGAAACACGCATACTAGACCTTAGTTCAATTATCTCCCTGCGTTCTCCTGATCCAATGTCAACCTCAGGTTTCACCCTTCGTGTGTCAGGCTATTCGGCATCCGAAGCTCGCGATGTTGCGGGCGTTGGGATTGAGCTCAGTGCCAAGACTGAGCGCTCGCTTCTTGGCTGGATTCCACTCAGTAGCCGTCTGTGCATTATACACCTCGAAGGTTCAGTACGGGTCACCAGCTACAGAACGAAACGTTGATGCTTATTCCTCGTATGGTATGCACCGACTGATTACAGTACACCTGAAATCAAGGATGCATTCTACAAGGACCTTTCTCATTTACTCCCAAGTGTTGGATCAGCGGACATCGTAGTAGTCGCCGGAGACTTCAGTGCTCAAGTGGGATACCTGGACGAATCGGAAAGACTTCTTGGTGGATCACATGCAGTCCCAGCCAACTGGATGAATAACGGAGATCGCCTACTTCAACTGTGCGCGGACCATGGATTGTTCCTGTCAAGNAATTGCTCGAACAAGAAACGGCACTGCCTTACATGGAAACTGCCAAACTCTTCACGACACTAGACCTAAATCGACCACATCACCATCAGTTACCGCTGGAGGGGGTCGATTCATGACTGTCGTTCTTATTGGTCAACACTTGTGGATACAGACCACGCCTTGTTGAGAGCCAAAGTCTTCTTACTTCTGTTAAATAACCGCAAAAATGTCACCGACAATGGATACCTACGATACAATGTCAGTGATTGTTGCAAATATGCCTTCGAAGCGGAACTCTCCCATCGTCTGTCAGTTCAACCACCGTCCGAAGGACTCAATGAACACTGGAAGCAAATCAAAAAAGCTATGAAAATATCAATAAAAGCAACGGACCCTGGCACAAGCTCAAAACACAGATGATGTATCTCGTCGATCTCGGTTGCTCTGCTAGACGCCCGCAGAACCCTCCTTCCTGATGCCACATATGACACAGCGCGCAAATCCCTCAAACGCCGGCTCATCAAGATTCTGGGGAATGATTGCGAGAAGTGTTGGGGTGGAGAAAGCTGGGGCTATTGGTAATAGTTGTAACCTTTTCTGTCTAATTAGGAATACGGGCCCCAAGAAAATAGGCGTAAGTAAGGTCATTAAGAAATCCGATGGCACACTGATTCATCATCAGCAACGCCATCTTGATCGATGGGCCAGTGTGTGAGAGAGAAGAGGTTCCAACTTAATGGCGTCAATCGGTCATCATAGCGATTTACCAGAAAGGTGACAGGGCCTCTTGTGAAAACCACAGAGGAATTAATCTAATCAACGTTGCTTCTAAACTTGTCGCTGGCATCATACTCCGTCGATCGTTTTCCATACGTGAAGAGTGCACGCGTGAGAACCAGGTTGGTTTTAGACTTGGTCGAGGTTGTATCGACCACATCATCACTCGTCGCCAAATTCTGAAGCACCGGCATTCTTTTCCTAGACCCACCATCTCTGTCTTCCTCGGTCTGAAAGCGACTTTCGACTCAGTCGACCGCTCTAAACTCTGGCACTGCTTCTCTAAAGGGTGTCCGAGAAATTTATTTTCGTAATACGATCCCTTTATCCTAATAGCAGAAGTCCAGTCTGAGCTTACGGCACTTTTCACCCGAGTTCACGGAAAGTGGTGTTCGACAGGGTTGCCCCCTCTCTGTGTTTCTCTTCAACTTTGTCATAGATTTGATTATGGAGACAACCCTATCCTCGTGCGAGGATAGTGGCATCAATTTGCTCCCAGGTGGCAGACTGTTCGATCTGGAGTATGCAGACGACATTGTGCTACTAAGTGAAGATTCAGGTAAGTTACAAGCTTTTCTGGAAAGTTTGAGTGCTAATTTAGCCATGTTCGGTAGGGGTTTTGCACCTTCGAAGTGTAAAATGTTGCTACAAGATTGGGTTGGTCCAGCACCCAGCCTCACTCTAACTGGGGAAGTAATAGAGCAGGTGGATAAGTTTTGTTACTTGAGCAGCTACATTTCACCCGGACACATCACAGATGAAGTGTCAGCCCGCATGTAGAAGGCTCGGTTGGTACATGCCAACTTGAGACATCTGTGGCACCGTCGCAACATCCGGTTGTCTGTGAAGGGTCGAGTATATATCGCTGTAGTTCGGCCAGTTCTGCTTTACGGTTAGAGACACTGAGTTATATGGCTGAGTGTCGTAAACAGTGGCGTTCGTGCATCTTCTCAATTTCTTTGCAACATTAGACCACTGAAATTCTCCGTTTTCTGTTCGACTCTACTTTCAAATTTCCTGTCTTGTCCTAATCTTCATCCAAATGGGCAGCCAAAAGACAGCAAACAAAACCGGCGCACGAAAGTGCATGGTTAATAGTTGTTCATACTGAAAACTGAAAATGTCACTAGGATGCGTTTCGTCCTCGCGATTCCGCAGGCTTTACGAGCGTGTTCGCTGCTGCTCAAAAAGAGATGCTGGGTGGGAGAACAATGAAGATTTGCTGTGAAGGTCTTCGTCGTTTATGCAAACGTTGGGACCGTTTGTAGCGCCTATGGTAAAAGAGAGTTGAATGTTGTGTGCCGGTTCTTCTGCATTTAATGGTGGGCGTGTATTCGTCTCTGTCGTAAACACTGAAATCGGCCGCAAACTATTCGCACCAAAACATACAGAAACGATTCTCTTTTCGTTCTGATTTAGTGTACACCGTTCTCTATTCGGTTTTATTTCGANTCCATTCGAGCCGATGACTACTACCACAAAATGGAAGATATGTGTGATTCGCACACCTCTTCTTGGATGGTTTGGAATCAGGATTTTCATAGGTGAACTACCGGTGATCCGTCGATCTGGTTAAAGGCCCTAATGTTGGCTTTTCGTCCTCTTACTTTGGTGAATAAACACTGCATCAGGAAGGCAAACGCTGTTTGAAACATGTGGTCATATTGGAGCATTTCGCGGGTGACCGACCCAAACCCAAGACACCCACATCGATCACTATGAATCTCTCGGTCCTTTGAGAGCCTGGAGATGCTGCATTCAATATATTAATGCTAAGCCTTTAGATCGAGAAAACCATACACAAAAGTTCACAGTAACTTTTTTTTCTTCATTCGATACCATATCATATATAAGATGAAACGGATCTCTTGGTCCGAGAAGACTGATGTGCATTAACCTGAATCATCAGTCCGAACTCCGAAGAGAAAATCACTACTCCCCATTCTCATTTTTGGACTTCAGTCATTGAGGAATAGTTGCCGAACATATCTTGATGTAATGTTTGAGAAGTTTGTTCTATATGGTCATTTCTTGAGACTATTTTCTTTTCTTCATTGTGATTTCCTAACTTCACACTTGATGTGTAGGTCTTATACGTTTCTTGTTGAATTCTGTTTGTCATTTCCAGCCTTGGTCATCTTTAAATTTCGTCCGGACGTTCAGCACTACTTCTGGAAAGGGAGGTCAGGGCTCAGATGGAGGTGAAGATCCGCCAGCCGACGCTCCTACTCCCGGCTCTGGCTCTGAAGGAACTGCCCCACCTCCCGAAAGTCCAGCTCATCCGCAATTGGCTCTGTCTACTCAGAACGTACCAGACACCTTTCCGTTGGTTCCAGTGATTGCCATCACGGGTGCCCCATTGTTTCCGAAGTTTGTGAAAATGATTGAAGTAAGTTCATTTTGAGTTTAATAGTTCGATTTCCCAAATCTATAAAAGTTTTATTAGAATTTCAATATCCTTATACTTCTTAATTGTATACTTGACTTTTCATTGTTTCACTATAAGAGTAATGCCAATTATTCATGGGTTAGCTTTTTGCAAGTTAAAGATGTCCCAGATTTGAACTGACAAAGTAGGTAGACCACCGTATTATTGAAGATCCACTATTCCGTTAAATAAATCGCAGACTTAGGCCCTTGCTTTTACAGCGGAAAGTGACGTTTTATTCCAGTAGCACGATGATATCAATCTGGATGACAAAAAGGCTGCGTACCGCCAAACCTGATTGTCTTTTTCAGGATTTGAACTTCTGACATGGAAGTTGCAATAAAAATCAATCGCCACCTTTCGTTTGCACAATAACTTTGGTGTTGTGGGTAGTTGTAATATCCGGTCAGCTGAATCGGTTGACTTGAGGCAGCTCTTCTTATCTCTGAAAAAATAGTTACCTCACACGGCAATGGATCATCGCATTTAATCCGTTATCTATGACAAGGCGGTTTCTAGACGGTTCGGCTGTTTTTCTGAGAGACCCTGTATCTAGACTTCGCAAAACACCATATCACATTGGAGTAGATGATAGCAGATCCCGTGTTTCCGGTCGTAGTCGGCTTGCCCCATCATAAGTAGTCCGACGAGTTAGCTGCTGGTGGCTCATTGAACCACGCATAGCCTTGGCGATTGGCTTCCTGTCCTCAGTAAAAACGGAATGAGAGAACAGGGAATAGGTTTTTCCAACAGAATTTTTCAACGAAGAAAATTAAGGAGCATTTTGAGAGGCGCCCGAGGCGGTAAGATCTAATTTCTGCAACTCCTTCCTCCGATCGCACTACTTTATCCCCATATTCCTTGCAGGTACCAAAAGCTCGGAATCATCATTTATGTTTCTGTATATCTACCAAAACAAACCTAAATTTCCTCTTCCTAATAAGCAAACTTTCATATCAAATATCTCCACTCTCATTGATGTCATACTATTTATAGGATTATTCCCGTTGATCATATTCACATTTGCTTAATGGAGGTGAAAGAAATTACGAGCATCATTTGAGATACTAGACGATCTCATAGTGAGAAAATTTATGAGAGTGATCTTCACTAGATCTATCGTGTACCAAACAGAGCACTGATCCGGAGAGCGACGGGGAAATCTATGCCCACCCACCTCTTCGCTGAATATACTGGGCGATGTGCATTCACGCATTCAAACTGCGGGTGAAATTCAATGATAAGGGGTACGCCAACTAGTCTGTCAACTGTTCAGCGCAATCCACGCTTAGGAGTCCTTTTTAGCATTATTATTATCATCATTTTCAGGATTGCACGTTAAACATGAATAGAATCATTGCCAGAGGCATGCTACTAGCATTCAAATATACACTAACCTCCCGGAGTATGATAGCCAATTTGGCCAATTTTTCGAGTAGCTCGTAAATAGTACATCCGAAAGCTTCAGTGGGTGTCTTGGGTTGTGACTCGTCATCTTTTCCTTACACCTCGCGAGATGCTTATATGTGAATAAGCTTCTCGAATAGCCTTCGCTCAGGAAGCTCTGCTCACTGCCTTTCTGTAGTGGAGGTGTTTCCCCACCAAAGTAAGAGGACGAAAAGCCAACACCTGCGGCTATAACTAGGTTGGTGAATCACTGCCAGTTTATCTAGGGGAGATGGCTAAAACCCCTGATTCCGAACCAACTAAGAGGTGTACGAACCAAATAAACCTACACCTTCCTGATTGTTTCACTGGTCACCGGCTCGATTGAGCACCGAGGTGTATTAGGCGTATGATCCGATGAACTAGACCCAGGATCCCAATCGACTGCGGACTCTAAACTCTGTCCTACTGTCTTGTAGGTCTGGCTTTCTAGCCAAAGGCTTCGGGTGGGGATCCTCGAGGATATCTCATTTCCTCGCTCGGGTCAACCGGAAGTAACATGCCCACAGCCGATGAACACATTCTACAGATTTTTTCTCCATAGGTTGTGGCACATTTACTAGTTCTATATAATTGGTTACATGTCAAATATGCAAATATATAATCACTTGTTCGGTCCTAGGTTTGATCCCGACGTAATTGGTAATCACTGTTAATGTTATTAAACGGGTATGATACTCTTTACCGTCTCGCGTCCCATTTTCCGTTTTTTTTTGTGTATGCGTGCACACTGCGCACTTTTGCACAAAACTTGGGTTATTTTTTATGTGATTTTATAAGCGGTTTGTTTGGTGATCGAAGGAAGAATGCCAAAACATGCTAATTTTTTGCCCAAAGTGCTCGATTCCGACGGCCGTTTTCCTGTCATACCCGTTTCTTCTTCCCTGTGACACATCTATTCCTAGTTCGTGCACACCCTGAGTGCATTTGGCTGTACTTTATTTTCTGACAACCTTATTGGTCATGACCTGCTCCTCCTCTTCACAGATCACAGATGAACGTCTGATAAATCTGCTACGTCGAAAAATCAAATTGCATACGCCGTACGCTGGAGTTTTTCTAAAACGCTCATCTACTGAGTAAGTGTCTTACGAATTCCACTTACTTTTTCCCGTTTTTTGTTGTTGTTTTTCTCGGTTTTTCATTATTATGTTAATGGAATGAGCAGTAGAAGGAATAAGACTAACGGTCATAACAACTTACTGCACCAAAATAAATGCTGACAAATTTGATTCGGCTACTTGGAATGGTAAACCACATACGGCCTCAGTTTTAGGCATGCTAATATACTTAGAATGAAAGGTTTCACCCTGATGTTTTTCTTTTCGTTCGCTTATGGTTTTAAGACTGATATTTACTGGATGGTGTGTGTGAAAAAAGTTTTTATCG